ACAGGCATGAGCCATCTCACCCAGCAGATCATATCTTATGATTCAGCTGCATAGCTGAATTAGGTGACTTAGTGCACATACTGCTGGTAGCATTGAAAACATAAAGAAGTTTCATGTAACTGAAAACCATCATCTGGGCATTTATATAGATGCTTGAAAGTTTCTTCATGCAGAGTCTATAGTCAGCATTAAGTGAATTTATACTAACCTAAACCTTATCTTTCAGTCTCTCCTTGAAGGTATAGATTTAATCCTTTCAAGAGATCTGTCACACTAACCAATTACCTGAGTGGCCATAGTTTTCTGTTAGGTTGTGGGCAGAAATCAGAGAGATAAGAAAAGAACCTGTGCCCTGCCTGACCATCATGGGCAGCTGGGGTTTGTGTCAGCCAGGAATCAGGTATTTGGGAGAACTTCTCTTTTTGTTGGTTGCAGGGAGATTCTGGAAGACCGCTGCAGTGTGCCCAACCTGAAAAGTACAAGCCTGTCAACATTGTGAGCTGAGGCAGCAGTCACTGACATCCCACTGCACCATCTTCACAAGAATTTCTGCCTGCAGTGATTGGATCACATCTGTCATTGGAGGAGAAGTGTGATCACTGAAAGAGCAGCATGGTATAATTGTGATTAGAAATGGGAAGAGGCAAGACATGCTGGCTCACACCTGTAATCCCAGTGCTTTGGGAGGCTGAGGTGGGTGGATCATGAAGTCAGGAGTTCAAGACCAGTGTGGCCAACATGGTGAAATCCCATCTCTACTAAAAATACAAAAATTAACTGGGTGTGGTGACATGTGCCTGTAATCCCAGCTACTCAGGAGGCTCAGGCAGGAGAACTGCTTGAACCCAGGAGGTGGAGGCTGCAGTAAGTGGAGATCATGCCACTGCACTCCAACCTGGGTGACAGAGTGAGACTCCATCTCAAAGAAAAAAAAAAAAAAAGAAAGAAAAAGAAAAGAAAGAAAATAAAAAAGATAATAGTACACCTGAAAAATGAGTGTCTTGTCAGTGCCAAAATATTCAGTGTTACTTCCACCCGTCATTGTCATTGCAGAGGTTGGTGTTGGTGTGTTTGTACATTCAATATTAAACATTGGTCACAAAAGTTAATGTTGTTTCATGCCTCCTGGGAACTTACAATTTGAATTGTTCAACTCATATCTTGCATACCACATGTATGTCATATATTTTGAATGGTATTATATACACTGGTACTACTTTTTTTCTACTTTGGCAAATAGAAAAAATATGATAAGAAGGGCAATATTATTCAACCCATATAATTCTTAACTTTACTCACAGGGATACAGGCTGGAAACTTCTCTGAGCACAAATAGATAGAAATGGTCCCTGTCAGTTTCACAATTGTGATGAGGAGTGGACATTTAAGAGATTATGTCTCAGGCATATCAATTGACCTTAAAAATTTTAGATAAAATTTTAGGATATTTAATCTGTTTATAAGGTATTTAATTTATCTGAAGCTCAGCTTATCTCAATCGCCTTACCTCTGTAGGCTGTAGCCAAGAATCAGGGAGGAACTAGGGAAGGTCACTGAGCCAGAAGAATAGATGTCAAATTCTATCACAGAAATCTGCAATATAGAATGAGTAGGAGCCTCAGGCAACATTTTTTTTCTTATTTTACACATTCCACCAAAATTTTTTATTTGGTTTCCAAGAATGCAGCATTCCAAAATGGTGTATGATTCAGCTTTAGGTAAGCACATGTATAATCAAATGAGACAGCAATTCATAGGGAAATAGAAAAATTACATATATATATTCAAACAACTTCAAAAAGCATAATATGCAGGGCTTCCTTCCTATAGAACTCAATATTGTGAGTAGATTATAAAAGTTTGAATTATGAAGCTGCCATTTCTGTAGATAAAAACATCTTGGAAATTAGCTACTTTATGTGATTCAGTCTAATAATTGTAATTACAATAATACATCAAGATGTTAGGTTCAGTACATCCACATTATGAAAATTTTGCTCTTCAGAATTAAAGTAAAAAAGCTGATATACTTAAATTAGGAATCCTTAACTCTCGGACAAAATGGTTTGTCTTCCAAATATTTCTGTTTGTATTTAAGGCTGGAGGTAACTGAGGCTTCACTGAAACTGGTTAATCTTTTTCTAATGAATCTTCATTTAAAAGTTGGAAGGCAAGTATGAGCACAAGATATCTCTGTAATGGTATTAGAAAAAAGAACCTGTCTTTTCTCACTCTTTCTCTTTTAGTCTCTTTCTATCTCTCTTCCTTTCCTTCAACCTCTTTTCCTCCTCTTCCCCACTGCCTGTTCCCTTTTACATTCCCCCTTTCTAACCCCATTCCTCTGGGCTTCTTACACTCTTTCAACTTCTCAATCTGTCTCTCTTTTTTCACCTCTGTTAATCTTTTTTTCTTTCTCAATCCCTCTACTTTTTTTTTTCAGTTCAGTCAACAACCTCCCTCTTCCCCTTTCCTTTCTCCCTCTCCCCCTTTCTTTTCTCCCTCTCCCGAATCACTTATACTTTCAAATTCTCATCCCCCTTCTCTCTCTCAATCCCTCTTGCTTTCTCAATGCCCTCCATCTTTCTCTTTCAACCAACCTCCCTTCCCCTTCCCTTTCTCTCAATCCCCTGCCCAACTTCTTCTCTCTTTTTCTGTCAACCTTTCCTTTCGTTTGCAAATGCTACAATGAGATATTATTATAAATGTCCTAGTAATTACTAAAAACCCTCTGCGTGAATATTGATTTAAAGCTTCCACTTTCATTAAGTTATACTTCTGGATAAGAACACCAAGGAAAATAAAAGATGAGATTTGCAAGGATTCTCTAATTCTAATGTTAATCTGTTTTGTACCATTTTTACTTTGTCTTTTGTGAATCTTTCCCTTCTTTTTGGTACTTAGCACATCACTTGTCATATTAAAGGTGCTCAATGAATATTTGCTACAAGAGTGACCAGGCTGCAAGTTCAGTTGACAGATCTGTTGAATGCCCACAAGCACCTCAAAGTCAGTACATCCCAAATGGATCTTTTTGTCTTTTTTTGGGGGGGAGGGAGTGGACAGAGTCCCACTCTGTGGTTCATTTCAGCCTATTAATTATATTAAACTATTGCACACACAATGCTTTATAGATAGAAATGATTGCTTTGTTGAAACAGAGATATCGGATGGCATAGACTGTGGATAGACTAAAAGTATTTATCCATCAGCTGATTATAACGTCTGAACTTGTCATGTGAAAAACTGATTTAAGACTTTTAAGGCCGGGTGCTATGGCTCACTCCTATAATCCTAGCATGTTGGGAGGCTGAGGTGGGTGGATTATTTGAGGTCAGGAGTTTATGATCAGCCTGGCCAACATGGTGAAACCCTCCCTCTACTAAAAATACAAAAATTAGTCTGGCATGGTGGCAGTTGCCTGCAGTCTCAGCTACTTGGGAGGCTGAGGCACCTCCTTGAACCCAGGAGGTGGAGGTGAAGGTTGCAGTGAGCCAAGGTCACACCACTGCACTCCAGCCTGGGCAACTGAGTGAGACTCTGTCCCCCTCCTAAAAAAGACAAAAGGATCCATTTGGCATGTACTGACTTTGAAGTGCTTGTGGGCATTCTACAGTAAAAATTATTCATTTATTAATTTATCTCAATATTCCCTGCTTACTTGCTGAAACTTTTACTCAAACTAGAGAAAGAAAAAAAAATGGCATGGAAATACCTTTTCATCATCTTTACTAAATACAGGTTGTTATGGAACAGTTATTAGTCTCAGTCTAAAACCTATCTTCTGCAGGTAATACATAATGGACTTTTTAAAGCAAATTATTTTTCAGATGTAATGCCACTGATAACACAAGATTAAGTATCCATCTCTTTTTAAAGTTAATCAGGTTTCAATCTTCAGGGGAAATTAAGTTTTGTCTTCAGTGGGTAGATTAAAAAATGGTGAATTGCTTTATAAATAAGCAGGATCAAATTAATCAGTTCTGCTACACCGGGAAATCCAGCTCTCATGGGATAGTTGTTAAACTGAAAGTAGGTTATCCTGGAGACCAAGGATCAGGTGTAACTAAGTGAACAACAGCTAGCCCCCATCCAACCAGGAGCCCACACTCCAAAGAAGGAAGAGTTGCTAATGCCTTTTTGGCAAATATAAAAAAGCATTTTAGATGTATATTAATTTACTTAATCCTCATAACAACTCTGAGATATGCTCATTTTACAGATGAGCAAATAGAGATGCAGAGATGAAATAATGTGGCCAAGGTCATATGCTAGTAAGTTGCTGATCTGGAATTTTAGGTCAATGAATAAGAAAACTCAAATCTCAACGTTTGATTATAAAATCTGGTAACAGATAGGTGAAAAAGAACCTGGAATAAGTTTACTCTCCAGCAGTTCAAATTTAACTTTTCTTCCCAAAGTCCCCTCTATAAACTCCTGTTCTATGAAGTGATAGGAAAACATGAGGCATTAATTTTCTTTCTCAAGAAGTATTTGAAGGCAAAGTAGGTGTTGGCTTAGGGAGATGAGGAAGACAGAAGTGCTTTCTTAGGAGAGAGTAAAACCTGGAAGACAATAAAAACGCGGATCAAATAATAAAAAGCGTTACTTATGGCGGAAAAGGAAGTTTAAATGTTCTTGTCACGGGAAAATGAGGACACAAAAACTGAAAGGGCACAAAACAATTGCAGGGGTGATATGCATTAGGGTTGTCAGGGGTAATTTCTACGCCCTTCATTACTAATAGAGTTATTAGTAATGAAATGCAGTGTGAGGAGCTGAGATTCCTTCTGCGGTCTCCAAGTGTCAGTCGCCCTTCTGTATCTCCTTCCTGGAGATACAGAACCAGACTAGCAGCACGATTACACCTTTGGTAAGTTGCAGCCTTATCTCCGTGGAGGCACGCGGCTTTTACCTTAACCACGCCTCTTCACTCCCTAAGACTTCGTAAGCAAAGGAAATATCGCGAGAACTCTACATTGTCTCTCTTCTGACGTTTTCAGCCGTGATAGTCGCTTTTATTCTCGCGATATTTCCGGGTACGCGGGAGTCCCGGCGACCCGGGCTTCTGTGAAAGATGGCGGTAGGCTGGGATCGTAACCTAAGGTAAAATACTGAAACCCCGCTGGGTGCTGTTCCCTAGGTTGTTCCATGGCTGCTCAGGGCGTAAATGCAGTTGAGGACACTGGGAGCTTGTCATGGGCTTGGCTCCTTGTCTTCATTAGTGTCTGGAGACCGGGTCGGACGGAGAAGCCTCTCCACTTCCCCCGGGGGCGTTACTGGCAGGACCCTAGGAAACGATGCTACTGGGAGCTCCCCTTTGCCTGGTCCGGGTGCAGCTCCAAGGAGTTCAGGAGCTTCCTCGGTAGCCCCTGATTCTGACCCTTTGCTTCTCACAGTGCCCGGTGCCCCGGTGGCTTTTCTAGTCGCAGGCGAGTAGGATCCCAATCGTTCGAGTGTCAGTCCTCCCGGTGTCAAGCTCCCTACCTCAGTCAAACAAATACCACATTCTTGGCAGTACGTTGCCCTCTTTCTCTTTTTTAAGAAAGAACGAGGTCTTGGCCTCGCCTGGAAGAAGTTTCGCACGGTGCTCCGGAAAATCAGAAAGAAGGGCAGGGCTAGACGCTAGGAGAGACAGGTCCGACTGTCACTACTTTTCTTCGGCGCAGGAATCCCTCCGAAGGCAACTTGTCAACTCGTGGTGGAGAATAGCCTTGCTTATCGGTAGTACATAGAGTTTACAGGTCGTTGTCTGAGAAAACACGTTTGAGTAACTTATATTTAGGATTTAGTGCCCCCGAGTCTTAAAGTGACATAATAGCTGTTAAAATGTTGCCAGACTGGTTTTCAGAAGCAGTGAAAGTTACAGTTAAAAACAGGATTTATTCATTTGAAGTTGTCATTCAGTATTTCAGTTAATTGCCTAGCCTGATACATTGTACTTTAGTATACAGCAATTATAAAGAACGAGCCTGGCTTGTTCACTGAAAAAGAAAAACTTATGCTTATTTACCTAATTTGTTTGTTGATATCTTTAAGTTGTTGTAATTATGCCAGTTCTACTGGAAGACATGAGGGAAAAAGATTCTATATTTGGGGGTGGGGATTGGCAATAGAGGGATAGATAGGGAGAGGAGGTTTTGTTTTGTTTTGTTTTTTATGATAGTGAACTTTAGTATCCAGTTGCATGTGATAATGGCTTCCTGGTACAAATCGTAAAAATATATCAGGTTGGAAAGGTCTCTCAAAAGAAATCAGGCATAGTCTGGAACAACAACAGACCAAAAAAAAAAAAAAAAAAAAATCCTTCAAATTTCTTTTCTTTGGGGATTGGTGGTGTAAGTGAAAGAAATGGCGATTTTTTTTCTTTACTGGAAGTTACTTTTAGGCAGTCAATGCCTGCTAAAAATACTATTTAACAGTTTCCAAATATTTATTATAATTTTCCCTGTTAATGTCATGGTGGACAAATTATTTAACCTCTCTGTGCCTTAGTTCCCTCATTGGCAAAATGAAATAACAATAATACCTAACTCATAGGAAGGTTGTGAGGATTGAATGTGTTAAAACATGCAAAGCATTTAGAACAATACCTGACACACAGTAAACACTCAATGTATGTTAGCTCTTGTTATTTTTTATTTTCCTTTTCTAACGTCTGTAGTTACAAATGTTGCCGTGTTACTTAGTCAAAATGTAGACTGAAGAAGACACTGTTTAAAATAATATCTTTCTGACCCCAGAGTGATTACATATTCTTGATTGGTGTGGTTAATGTTTTCTTAAACTCCCCATCACCATCCAGTTCCTTGTTTTCTTAAATTATTATCCTCTTTTAATGACTAAAGCATAAATTCTTCCTTTCTACTGTTCCATATAGTCTGTAGAAGGGTTTTCTTTGTGAATGAATGCTATAGTATGAATGCCATAGGAGGGTAAATTCCAAAGGATGATGATGGAATGGGGAAGAAGAGAAGCATATTGAATGATCTAGGTGCTGATGTCTTTAAGGAAATTATGAATATATCCAGACGTTAGTGGAATATGAAAACAAGTGCAGAAGTGAGAGTCAGTGTGTACTGTGGTTTGGAGCATAGTTTCAAGTTCTACCACCTTCTGTGTGGCCTGGGAAAATCACTTGACAGTTCTGTCCCTCATTTCCTCATTTAAAAGTGGGATTAAAAATAGGATCTGCTTCACAGAGTCATTTATAGGATTAAATGAATTAATATCTAAAGAGCTTCTAGTAATACATAGCACAAAACATGAGAGATGGTTGAGAAATATGGTAAAACATGATACTTCTCTAACTTGGGAGTCTCAGAAATGAACTAAGGGTTAGAACGGAACTGCCACCAATAGAAAGTCAGGTTTTATAAAGAGTACAGATAGGACAATTCCTTTTAGGAAAACTAGAGGTTATTGGATACCTTGTTTATGCCAGACAGTGGATTTGCCACCAATAGAAAGTCAGGTTTTGTAAAGAGAACAGATAGAGTAATTTCTTATAGAAAAGCTAAAAGTTATTGGATACCTTGTTTATGCCAAACAGTAACTTATACACTAGGGTGGCAAATATTCAAAATGGAATTTATTTCTTGCAGATAGGTTAGTGCCGAGCTTTCAGGAATGGGACCGGTGGAGTAGCAGAGTGGCAAGAGGCTCCATTCTAGAGTGATATCTCATGAAAAAAGGGGATGGAGGAAGCTAGAGATGGGTAGGGAGCCACCTAATACATTCCAGCCAGACTTTCAAGGGAGGAGTGCTGAATAGGTTGTATGTATTAGGAGATTTGCAAAACTAACTGCTTGCAATATCTTTATGCCTATACATAAATTAAAAGCATTTAGAAAGGTAATTATACAAATATAATGTTATTGAAAGTTTTAGAAATATAATTCACTATTTTATTCATTTGTTTAACAGTGCTATACTCACTTTGTGATGGCCATTGTTCTAGGTCCTGGGATAGTGGAAAAAAGAAAAATCCTTCTGTGGATCTTATATTTTTACGTATTTGCTTACTTAAGTATGACATACTGTTATGATTTGAAAGATGCGCTATTATGGTGCTTCTGGAGAAATTTCCTTCCTTTTCTTAATGAATATTGAATACCTGTTTGCTAAGCATTGGAGATACAGAGATCAAGTTAGACATGGTTCCTGTTCTAACAGTCCACTGGAGAAAACAGAAAATGAAAGAAGCAATTAGAAATAGTGTCATAAAGGTACAGTGTTCTAGACGCAGATAGATGTTGAGGGCCATGGAAAGCTTTTTTGTCCCCGTCTCAAGGTAGAGATGAGTAGACTGGGCCTTGAAGAGTAAGTAGGAGTTAGTCAAATGAAGAGATGGGGTGGGGGAAGAAAGAACATTTCAGGCAGAGATAATAGCATATTTTAGGTCTTGAAAGTGATTTAGTATGATCGGAACGCAGACTGTGAGGGATTGAGTTTGAAGAGAGGTTAGCAGGACCTGATTTTTGAAGAGCTTTGCAAAACATGTTAGGATAGTGTCCAAGCTCTTAAGTGTAGTGGGAAGGGAAGTTATACAAAGATTAGAAGAGAAATATTATATAATCAGATTTATGTATTAAAAGGATAATTTGTTCTTTATTATAGTATAGAGAGAGAATTGGAAGGTTGAAGACTAGAGGTTGTTGAAGCAATGTAGTGGCAATTGGGACTAGGAATGTACTTGGACATAAGGAATTTCTCAGAGAGTCTGAAGAAGAGAGGACAGGCAGATTTAAGGGAAATTTAGAAATATCTTAAGTCTAAGGATATAGCCCGTGTTTCTGGCTTGTGTAGTTTGGCTTATGGTGTTATCATTAACTAAGATAGGAGATACAGGAGGCACAATTTTGACAGGGTGAAGTATTCATTTTTGGACTTGTTGAGTCTGAATTCTGTTTGGAATGTCCAAATGAAAATGTAACAGAAGGCAAAGGATTATATATATCTGTAGAGAGATTTGGGCTGAGAATCAAAATTTGGGAGAAATCAACATGAGACTGAAATTGAAGGAATGGGCAATCATTTGGGGAAAGTGTAGAGGTTGAGAGGGGACCTAGTGCAGAATTTGAGAGAAAGATGAATCTGCAAAATAATCCAAAGAGGGTCTTCCAGGTAGGATGAAAATTGGAAATGTGATATCACTTAAGATGATGTTTCAAGAAGAAAACGAAATGATAAACAGTGTACTTTCTCAGAGGTGCAATTAGATAAGGACTGAGGAGTGTCTGTCCATTTAGTACTAAGGAAATTGACCTTGCTCAGCGCAAATTTAGTTGAGAGGTGAGAGTTGGGTGAGGAGGTAGTCACAGTAGATGAATGAGGACAACTCTTTTTTTTTTTTGAGACGGAGTTTCACTCTTGTTGCCCAGGCTGGAGTGCAATGGCGCTATCTTGGCTCACCACAACCTCCACCTCCTGGGTTCAGGCAATTCTCCTGCCTCAGCCTCCTGAGTAGCTGGGATTACAGGCAGGCACCACCATGCCCAGCTGATTTTTTGTATTTTTAGTAGAGACAGGGTTTCACCATGTTGACCAGGATGGTCTCGATCTCTTGACCTCGTGATCCACCCGCCTTGGCCTCCCAAAGTGCTGGGATTACAGGCGTGAACCACCGCGCCCGGCCCCGAGGACAACTCATTCTTTTAAGTTGGCTGTAGGTATGCTGCCAGAGATGTGTAGTTGGAGTTGGACTTGAGTTTAAGGGAGAGTTCAGTTTTAAGGAGAAAAGACATAAAGATATTTAATATTTTACTCAAATCACAGAGAATAAGTAGAAATTGAAAGATTGAAGAAGGGTAAGTTTTTGTGCAGTTATCACTAAAAAGGTACGGAAAATAAATTTGATTATCAGAACTGAACAAACTTAGCAGGCACGACATATACCTAACAAACATTCAGAAGCTTAATTTATCAATGGGAATACCAGTTTTATAAGTGACGTGGCTGTTAGAAACTGTCATCTGTTTTGTCTACCTCATCTGTTTTTCCTTTAGAAAACTAAGTGCATGAGAAAAAAATCATAATTCGAAGTCTGCTTTGTGAGCATGGAACCAGCAAGGGAAGGTTAGTTGCATGTTTTTAATGGCAAAAGAAATCAACATGTTAATGCTTTCAATTCTACTTTAGAGTAGAAGCTCCCTGCTGGATTGATAAGTAGCTCTCCTGGTCAGAGCTTCTTTCTTTTAGACAGTATTCATGTTTACTGCCAATTTTTGATTCTCTGGCCCTTATTTTTCTTTATGAATGTTCTTTCTCTTGCCTATTCTTTTATGTTAATCCTACCCATTAGATCTCAGATTCAAAGTCTGTCTGCTTTCTTCCAGAGACATTATTTCTCTTATAGTGACTTTTGCAACTATATGATTTATTCTGCTATTATGTGTTGATTTTATTAATAAAGCTTTGATTACTAGGAATTCTTTATAGTATTACCTATAGTATTATTTATAAATCTGTTATAAAAATTACATAAATATCTAAAAATTCAGTTATTTGATGGGCTTTATAATTTTAGATATAGATGACATACTGATAAAAAGGGACTAGCAAGCAGCCAATTTTTAAATAACGTTTGAGTATAAAAATAGATAATTTGGGAAATCTGAAGTTATATGTAAAGGCAATTAAAATTCTCTCATGAGAATTTTTAACATTTTTGTATATAGATGCTCAGTTTTGTTTCTTGTATATTTTTTCCTGTTGCCTATAAAATGAGGATCTATGTGACCATCTAGTCTTTTCTTACTGAATCATGACTATTTTATTCTGTCATTAAATTTTATTTTATTTTTTAATAAAAGATTTTCAGGCCAGGCATAGTGGCTCATGACTGTAATCTCAGCAGTTTTTTTGGGAAGCTGAGGTGGGTGGAAGGCTTCAGCCTAGGAGTTTGAGACCAGCCTGGGCAACATGGTGAAACTCCTTCTTTAGAAAAAATACAAAAATTAGCTGGAGATGGAGGCGCATGCTTATAGTACCAGCTACTCGGGAGGCTGAGGTGAGGAGGATCACTTGAGCCAGGGAGGCAGAGGTTGCGGTGAGCTG